CCCACCCCCCCTACCTTTTGTTCAAACCAACCTCTTCTCTGCAAACTACTCAACACATAGTAACTGAGTGTGGGACCCATGTGTTGTCAGACCACTCACTAAAAAACTGACTTGAGCCATGAAATCACACCCCCACCCTACCCCTACCTCCACTGCTTTTATTTTTAACTTTACTTCCAAATGGGATCTCATCCTTCAAAAACATGTCAACACGGCATCGTTTCAAGCCTTTTCACACTTCACCCACCTGAAGAACGGAATGGTCCTAATGTTTTTGTGTTTCAAACCTTCTGATTCACTGACACTTACAAAGATTGTTATTTGGTGTATATATGCAAAAGACTGGGATTAGGTTTCTGAGGGGGGTTCTTTTGATTTTCTCTATAGTTGAGGGGGTGTAAATAGAATTTGGAATGTATACTTACAAGTGTACTAATTTGGATGCACGTGATACAACATTTTGATGCTTCCACTGCTATCTGTCTTTCTGACAAAAGTATCTTCACATATACATATATATGATATATATATATATATACACACATTCTCTTGTATGGGTTTCTTACCCTTTATTCTGATTAACTTTTTAACCCCCATATATAAATATTGATATGCTTTTTAAGAGATGCTAATGATGTGGTATAAAATGATTAAGCTGAGTGTCATAGTTGTAGGCAAGTCTGTTTGGCACTAAGGTTATAGACATGGTGTCTATTAGTTGAAATGAAATCACCACCTGTCATTATAATAAGGTCTGAATGGTGCTTGGTGTAGTGTATAGAGATATTAAGAAATGAGTTTAGAATGCAGAAAAAGTGGATTAAGCAGGCAGTTGGTAATTTGGTGGTCCCAAATTGTTGTCCATGTTGTAGTTAATGCAAAAGGACCTGCACACCAGTCCAAAGATAGGCACCACCATATTCAATGTACCACCAAACTTCATAAGATTAAGTGACTTGCTTGGCAACAGCTGCTGCTGCCATTTCTAGTAGCTGCTACCAATTTCATCTATTATCAAACACTTCTGAAATTAAATTTAAAAAATTATCTACAACTCTGAGTCTTTATTCTAAACAAACCCCACAATTCAATCCAAATTCAACATCAAACAATGTTCAGTAACTTGAAGATAAGAGAGAACATTAGAAATATATATATATATATATATATATATATATATATATATTGTTGGGTTCTAATAAGAAGGAGAGTTAAATGTGAGAAACATAAGAAAGGATCTTCATCCTTATATGCACATTAGAATGAGATGCACGTGATCATTCTACGATTAAAGGTAATCAAGGGTCCAGATCCTAACTCTCTTTCTCACACGATCCTTCACCTATATATAATATGTATATAGAGAGAGAAAGAGAGGGGAAGGGAAAAATGAAAAACTAAAGAACATTCGGGTATACGCATACAAGTAACTGAAGCTATTTTTTACATGTGTGCATATTATGCATACGTGCATACTACACAAATTGCTTAAGGAATTTACATGTATTCGTATTTGCATACCATCCGGATGAATGGTTACCAGGGTGTCCCTTAGTTTTTCATTTTTTTGCTGTTTTCCCTGAACCTGACCCTATATATATAAAGAGGGAGGTTCACAGAAAAACTGCAAAAAAAGATTGAAAAACTAGGAAACACCCTAGTAACTATTCATTAGATTGAAGCTATTTTTTTGGTTTTTATGCACATGTACACTTGTATACTAGACAAATTGCTTACAAATTACTTGTATACGGTCCAGATGAACAGTTATTAAGGTGTTTTTCTTTTTTTTGCATTTTTCCACTGAACTTGACCATATATATGTAAAATCAAGGACTTACCAGGTTCCTCATCTTCAATGGTACGAGAATGAAGATGTGATATATAAGCTTTAAGGCAGGTGCAAAAATAAACATTATGGTACAACATACAAATGGCACAATTAGAACAGAAATAAAAAAAGAAGGGTACTACAATAACGGGCATGCGTTACAAACTGGTTTATTGTTCTGAAATATCAAACAGAGCTCTCGACACTTGGGAAAGAAACCGACATGATTCTAGAATGTTCTTACCTTCGTATGGCGATGTGAATTGTGATGAGACAAAGGAAGCAACATACATGCATTAGTTGCACAAATGGGAAACCAAATTTATATAATACTTTGAACTCATGACAACTATAAATTATAGAAATTTGAGCTGAACTGCCTATAACTATACATTACAGCGGTCAAGCTTTGAACAGCTGCTAATCCTTTTGGAAAAGAGATAACACCAGATCTGTATGTACAGAGAAGAGTTGTGTGTCCACAAAAAGCTGTTTCACAGAATAAATGTACATAGCATGTTAGTGTTACAAACCTTCATTCAGTCAGCAGAATAAAGTAGCAATATAGAAAACTACATGGATGCAAGACAATTAGAGTAGATACTACTTCGTTCCCCATCCCCAGTCAACTCGGGGATTCCACGGTCAAACTGGGTTCGGGTGTCGGGTTCCCCAACGGGTAGGTTTTTTTTTGCCATCCATACTACTTCTATACATTTGGGTGCGTTTAGTACACTGGACAGGACAACTAGAACGGGATCACTTTTTCATGTTTGGCAGGACCTTTATGTGAATAGACAGAAACAGAGTGGAACAACCCCACCCCATGGAACAAGGTGGAACAGACTTATATTTTACCAATATAACCTAAAAATAAAACCTAACTCTCTTCTAAAACATCAAATACGTCTCTCTCTCTACATTCTATTCATTCTTTAAACTTTATTTATTGTATTTCATGATCTTTAAACTTTCAATTTACTGTCCTCAAATTATTATTTTTATACGAACTCTATATTTTGATTGATTTATGTAATTTATTAAATATTAATAATATAACTAATATAGAAAAGATATAAAATAAAAACTGAAAACTACATAGAACTTTTTATTTTGGTGTCATTTTAATAGTCTGCACAAAAACTTTTTAATGTTGTATTTTGTATAAAAAATATTAATTTTATTATAATTTAATAAATTACATAAATTAATAAAGATATATAAAAGATATAAACAACTATTCATTAGGGGTAAATTGGTCATTTTGTCTGTTTTGTCTTGTTGAGTTCTGTCTTACAAACGCTGAACAGCTGTTCTGTCTTGTCACGATATCAATCGCACCCTAACTGTTCTCGAATAATTACTAAATCATCCCGGCGAAGTGAAGTAAACAAATCAAACATATAGAAAATTTAACTAGTGTACCTTCATAAATGGACGATCGCGACTAGGAAAAGACTCGATGAAACTCTCCTTTAAAAGCAATGATACCTGCAGTTCAGATGAAAAAGAAATGTGTTGAACAAATTGTAAAAAAAGTGCTATTGAACTTGTTCATTAACCAGTTTGATTGACTAATGCATAGACTGATATCTAAATCGGGAAAGAGAGAAACCTTATCATCATTCGACTGAACATTCGTAATGGTGTGGGAACGTAGATTAGAGCAAAGTGAATCCAAATAAGATCGTAATACTTTGAGGAATCCCTTCGCAGCTTCTACCTGCGTTCGATAGCAATCATGTGAGAATTTATCCACTTGCACTATAAACAGAATCACATCATTTATTTGAAATCTTAAGCTTATCGTAAATAAATAAAGAGTAGAATATCACACTGAGGTGAACTTCAAAAAACAATGACATTAAATAAAAAATCAACCACGACCACCATAGCATGATTCACCAAGAAAATAATACATCTTAGCCTTCTAAGACATAAGAAAATTACAAATATAGAGAATTCTTACTGGAGTTAAGAAGAAAAATATACCTGCACATCAGTGCACTCATAAATCGGTCTCCTTCTCCCCAAATAACTTTCTCCCACAAGCTGAGCATGATATGGAGTTAAGGCTGCATATAATTCCTTGTACTGGGGGAAATGCGGTATTGACGACGATTTGACCTAATTAAGGCAAAAAAAGAGGGTAATTAAGAGATCAAATTGAAAGGGTCAAAAACTCAGCCCATCATGTCACACAAGTCACCTAAAAGAAAATTATCTCAAATTATTGCAAGTACCAACAAGATATGTACAAGTTTACGCGAACAGTGCTTGTAAATACCCAAAAAAGACAAGTCAAGCCTAGCTTCCTTCCTTCCTCCAACACACATACATACATATATAGGTGTATATATATCGAGAGACACGAAATGATGTGTCTATTTGTAGCTGAAAAATGGATGTATCTGCAAAAAACTAAATGTGCACCTGGTTCTTGTTTGCATCAACAAGAATAATGTTTGCTGACTTGGATTGTACTTCAGCAGTTTTGCTCTTCACACCAACCTGGTCCACATAAAGCAGGAATATATAAGGAAAAGAAACACAGATCACAGAGGAAGGTGCTACAGCACATTTACAACCTGAAACCATAGCACAACATAATCATGCGCAACTTGGTGGAGCTTAACAATATAGAATATAAACTCAAACATTCATTCTCAAAGATATAGAATCCTAGCCACTGGATACAGTAAACTCTATTTTGCTATGGTGTACATATTTTGAATCCTTTTCAACCATTAACTGATGTAACTTGAATCCGCAAGCTACTTTCTGAATCTTAACCATCTCAACCCCAAGTAACTTAATCATACCTTCACCTCCAACCAAAAACGCTATTGCACTAGATGTTTCTAACTTAATATATAATCCTGAGGTTTAAAAATTCTCCATTACTTTAGCTTAATGTTAAAGTACATGCTGAGAATTGCTTGTACCATGATGATACCCCTTTGCTTCTATTTGTGTGGTATGGTGGTTGAGCCTCCCCTACTCTACTCTTGTCTATTAACATGATCACAAGTGCCGTCACTTAATAGACCAAGTCACAATATTTTTTTTCTTTTTCTTGTAATTATGAAGGTTGACAAGTCATTTTTATTGTGGGTGGCGTTAATTATGAAACATTATCATCTTCATTCTATTAATTTTAGTAAACAAATTTCATCAAAATGAGAAATACATGAAACAATTCCATTTTTACATAGAAACAAAAATATATAAAACAATTTCATCAATAAATGAATTATTTAAAACAATTTCATCATATTAAACAATTTCATGAAAAAGTTTCACTAAATTAAACCATGAAATCAACGGTTTTCACGGTTTGTACTAATGGTTTGGTTTGCATTTTATCCCTCCCCTATATATATCTAAGAAACATAACAGCATAGGTAGTTACCTCTTTCTTTCATCCTCCCAAAGGTCTTCCCATGGTGAAGGCTCCACTATACCAAACCAACACACATTGTGCTATTCCCTAGTCCATACACTAGCGTTCCACTCAGAACTACTTAGCATGCCACATTTGCTACCTTCAAAGTCTGGTTAAATTTTTTATATTTCCCACACTTTATTAGTAAAAGCAATAAGTTGGTTCCATTGAGGTCGTATATCAATACCATGAACTTTAGAAATAGCAAATACGTAACTAGTTAAGCCCCTGCGACTTCCAAGACCTACTGGCCTGGCGTTCCTGGTAACCCAACCTTTCTGAAGGTTATGGGTTCAAGTCTCACCAAAGTGAGGAGTGTGTGTGAGTGTTTGACGTAAATAAATATTATATATTACAAAAAAACATATAACCACTTGAATATTTTGTTAAATTGAGTCTTTCTGAATTAAATTAGCAATAAGCAAATGCAGGAAAAACCTAATTAAGAACTCACGATGAAAGGAACAGGCGCATCCAAAAAGTCCAGCATGTCGTTTGGCAAGACCTGAAGCAAAATCAATTAAAACATCAGTTAAGTTCAATTGGTACTGCTATATCATAGCAGATGTACATTACAAACTTAAGAAAGATTCTTATCCACAATACCGGCATAAAGAAGCTCTGCCACTGGTAAGGACGGATCAAAGGGATAATAGACAACACTGAAGCGGACAATATTCCCTGAGATGCAAAAGATAGGACTTCAAGAATAAGAAATATTTAAGTGGTATTGCTTAATCCAACATATGTCATGTTGTTTCCTTAATGATAAATCCCAAAATGATAAAATTATAAGTAGTTTGCTTTGATGCAGATCCATCAAAATTTGAACCTAGCTTAGGTATCCCAATATATCATCCCTTTTATAAGATGTAGCAGCAAATTTTTATGTTTGGATAAAAAGCAATACAACAAATGGTAGACTTAACAACATCAGCGGCTGTTGGGCGACCAAGCACAGACTACAAGCAGCCTAAAAAGGAGAATAATTTGCAATCATAGATAATATACAAACCAGATTAGAGCACACAAACACAATTTGCTTCTCCAGAAGAGCACCCGCAAATATTGTCAGGACCTGTGGAAGACAAAGTGAATAAGAACTTCATTTTTTATTTACGTAAAAACCGATCAAGATTCAATAACAAAAAAAAAACATGAACCTCAGAAGCTTAAGCATAAAGTAATCAAGCTTGATTTCATGACAAAAGATTTAGTAAAAGCAAGTTCATTTGAAAATTAGTCCAACATGAGATATCTACAGGGGTACTAAATCTAGTTAGAAGCATTAATCACTTCTCCATAAATCAAACGCCTTTAGATGCAGATTAAGAAAAAAATCACAACTTTGCAATACCAAAGGTGAATATGGTACTCTCATTACTTTAGCCTTGCATCCGTACATCTAACATCAGAGACAATTTTGAATGTGCATTTGGCATATAAGCTCTTGTTAATCATCTGAAGAGTACCACCTCAACAACTCTATTTGGATGACGCAATGCATTATTGGTGTGGTCAAGATATGGTTTGGCTAGTTATCAGTAGTATCACGGCTGACTCACATTCAGGAATTTTGTTGAATTGTGGGAATTGGCAAGTGGATCAACAATAGAAAAAAGTTTATCGTATAAATAATGAACTTGACAGCAGATGGAAGGTCATAGAACATAAATACGCATGGAGTCATCAAATTTATGAATCAAAAAAGTGCTAAACGAACCCAAAATGGAGCACAAGTCGCAACAATAAACCAATGCAGAAAAGAGACCTTAGTTCATTGTCTAACAGCACATTCAATTGCACATGGATGATTATAAGATGATGGTAATTGAATAAGATAATAATTACATGCTCAAGACGCATGGAGCCGCATATGCAAGAAATTGCCCATACTGATAAGGCAGTTGCCTCCTCCTCCCCTGCAAGTGCCCTGTGAGCCTACAGTAATAAAAAGCATGTGATTAAGTACACCAACCGCACAGAAAAAAGATAGCAAACACAATAGTGAACAAGCACTGTATATTTTTTATGAAACTCAATTTCTTCCATCTACTGCCCAAAAATCAAAACCTGCCTCTGCCAGTTCAAAACTTGTGCTGCATGACATCAAATCAATGGTTGAGCCAGCCATATGTAAAACTGTTTCATCTGGTCTATGAAATTCCAAAGCATGCAGGTGCTCCAGGGGGTGGAACTTGATTGTCGAACCTCTTGCAGGGACACATAAGCGATTATACTCGCATATAATCTGTAAGGATCCATGGTTGTTGGTCTGCAAAAGAATTTGGGGGTGGAGATGTGAGAATTGGGAATTTAACTCGACAAAGTCCACAACTAAGTTGAAAAATCAATGTCAAAACTAAGAGAAAACCTTAGCCCAATCAAAGATCTCGTTGTGCTCGTTATCTTCTTGACCAGAGAAAGATGCCTCATCTGTCTCTGCTGAATCAAGGTCACTCCTAAAGTTCCTATCTTCACTAGGAGAGCCCTGAAAACTGTATCAAGCAATTTCCATCACCAACTAAACATTGTTTAAAGCCGGATAATCTCATCAAACTGTTCCTACCAAAAATTTAGCATTTGCATGAAAACTACACCAAGAATATCATATATTGGCTTTTCTTCTTAGATCCATATAAACCGGTAGCAAATCACAACTATTGTTTTTTGATGAAGCTTTGACAAGAACCATTTAATTTTTTCTTCCTATACAACTAAGTCAATAACAATCCAATGTGATTGTAAAAGTGCGCATCAGAACATGGAATAATCAAGGGAATATATCATGGCATATTATGAGTGATGATGAAGAGCATATAAATATAACATCAATCACTCCTGCTATGCTGCCTCCACGAATCAATGTCTATGTCAAGAAATCAGTGGTCAGATGTTACATATACCCAAAAGATAACGGCTTACCTTGAGGAAGAGTCAGAGCTATCATATTGTTGATAACGGAGAAGTGGCAAAATTGCATTTGGTATATGCTTTGGAGTGGGTTGTTTGTTGAAAACCATATCACCAACAGGACTATCGCTAGTGTTAAACATCTCAGCAGCTACAGATTCTTTCTTGGATGAATCCATCCCCATTTCAGGACGAACCGGTATAACATCATTGACACCTTTGTCCAACGGGAGAGAGTCGACCTTAAGGACATGATGGTTCTCATTACTCCTATCCTCTATCACTCTTTCATTGATAGAATTGCTCCTGCTTAATTGGACAGTTTCCGTGTTTCCATTAAGCATTTCTTGAGCTCCATGTTCAGCTAAAATGCCAACTACTTTTTCCTCTAAATATACTTCATCATCATATGCAACAGATGGTTCCATATCTAACTCGCTAATACTTTTCGTTAGCCGTTCCAACCTTTCTTCAGTGAAGATGCTACAAAATTATAACAAAATTAATAAATTATAGAAAGAAAGAAGTCACAAAAGATAGCATTCATCTTCAGATAAAAGTGAGAGTCTTCACAAGACTACAAATATAAAATTGACAACACAATCATCATATACTCTTGGAATGTCAACAGTTGTCACAGAAATACTCAGATATCCTTGGTTGGTTGAAGTTTGTCACTACTGTTTTGTTTCGCAACCAAGTAAATAAGTGTGTGCTTGTGTAGATGCAAAAAGAAGAACAATGAAACACAGTTTGTCTTCCTGAGTTGTTTCATCAGCTTCTCAAAGTTCCATCAGTTTTGAATTTCATGTTCTTTTCGAACAATTGCAGCCATGTATCTTCCTTTAAGCTTCGTCGTCAATAATATAGTAATGTTGTGTAAATGGAGCCAGGGATTAGAGAGGGACATCAATGCTAAGAAAAAGGAACTGCAGCCCCAAAGTGTAGCATCAGTTCCAGATAACTGCTCAAGTTCAAGTAAAGGCTTCATCCAAGAATCCTTCAGGAATTCTCAGTCAAGAATAGCAATGGTTCCAATTTAATCTTTACAAGGAAATGAAATAATCTAGAGTAATTAATGAACGAGATATTGCAGAATCAAAGTAGCTAATTGAGCTCGCGAAGCAATCTGGAAGCAAAGCCTTAATGACCTTTTGTAGAAAGAATTCATCATGCCTGTATGGAACTCAAATGCATCTCCATCACCAAATTATTGATTATTCACATCCCCTGAATCTTCCTAGTTCCTACTACACTTACCCCAGGTCTCGTACTCATTTCAGAAAGGCTTGTGGGATGAAGAAGTGCAGCGCTCAAGAAAGATCGACAAGATAGCATTTTCTGCTCAAATTGCCTATTTGGGGAACATTACATGTGCAAAATGTAGGGTTTTAAGGTGAGCAAACTACTCAGGATCGTATCAGATTCAACTTGGGAACCTGATTGCTTGGGTCAAGTTCGAAATAGACTTTACAAGTGACCCAACTTTTTTCCATTTATTTAACTAGTTAATCTCCAGACGTCCTTGAATCATTAAGATCATCTAAAGCTCATTCATCCTTACAAAAGTAAGATTTTACACGTAGCTTATATGTATGTTCTGTTATAAAGTATTGCAAATAATCAGTTTTAAACTTACTTTCCTTTTAATTACAATCAAAGGCCGGAAATGTTAAGTATACTTCTTAAGTATATTTTGAGCTAAGTACAAACTTAAACTTATGGCTCCAAGTAGGTTCATGAAAAAAGTTAGATGAGCTGAGTGCTTTCAAGCTTTCACTTTTTAAGTTAACCAATTTAGATGCACTCCTAATCTCCTAGAAAACTTTAACTAGTTGAGGAAACTTTTTCTTAGCTCCTGTCTCACGTATTCCTCTCAACAAAAAGCTACTAGCCTGCTAGGTGATATAATTTGTACAAGGTAAAGTACTATAACTTGAGTATTGATTGATTTTAAGATAAAAAGATGTAATCAGATCAAAAATAGCAGAAAAGGATTTCAACACGATATTCCTTCTACGGCCTGCAAATGCATGCGCCTTCAGTGGATGAGAAATATCTAGTTAAGCTACCATCAAAACTGCACTGTTTCTGCAGTTGAACCAGAGACCAATTTTTGGACTTCAAGAGATGATTATACAGATTCCTAAAATCTAGCCAAAAGTACTAGATACAAAGATGATCATGAAAAAAGAATTTTCATAAATCTGTATGTTGGCAAACCTGTTCAACACGCCAAAATGCAGTTCAAAAAATGGAAGCCTCGATAGAATGCAGTAACACCGGCGAGTTGTTAAAATATGGCGGCTCACAGGAGGGCAAAAAACTTGTCCATCTGTCATCATAGAAATTAATCTTGACGGTTGTTGAACCATCTCATCGACTAGAACACAGCAACCATAAAGAATAGAATCATCTGCACCCTACATAGTGTTAAAGATCAAAACCCAGAAAGTGTACTAAAACTATATTTATTCATACATGTATGTGCGTCTATGTGTATGTATGTGCATCTGTGTGTATGGTATGTATGTATAATGTATGTGTGTATGTGAGTGCATGTATGTATAATGGTCCACAATGGCAGATCAAAGATTTACAGCTTACATATGCCTACCATAACAAACAAAAGATGCACTACAATTACAAGAAAAGTACACTAGAAAATTGTTAAAGTTACGTTTTTTTTTTTTTGTCAGGAGAGGGTCCGCAGCATTCAATAGAAGCATGGTAGAATGCATAAGAAATCATAACCACATAAAAAGAGATCCAGCTGATCATTCTCATCAGGATAGAGTGAAATTGAGCCAAGACATTCAGGAGGGGGAGCAGTAATGACCAATAAGACAACCCCCACCCCTCCACCCTAGATCAGAGCAAGTTGTATTTATAGAATTAAAGGGGTGTACATCCTAAAAGTCGCAAACAAGCTTAATATCTTATCATATTCGATAACAGGTCTTCAGTCTCAGCATAATTGCTATTCTTTGTTGTCTCCTCTAGCAATTAGAGAATTTATCTGACTGAAGAAGTTCAGTCATATCTTGAGACCGTACTTCAAAAAATATTGCTCATTCTAGCAGATTTACTTATTAGGGGATTAAGAAGTATAGTCATGGAGCAATTCATATTTATTAGCATAGTGATCTTTACAGAAATTAGTCAATAGTTATTTTGTTTCAAAGGACATAGCTGATGGAAGAAGGCATATAAGTTTTGAAGGTAAATTACAAAATGGGCGCAGCAATCAAGGTTTAGAAGTCACAGATTGAATATAGATAGAACACCCCCAAAACTAATGAAAATATTGCCAAGAGAATAGTTGAAAGGAACTCCCTGGGATTACCTGCAATCTGAATACAAAGGATAGATCATTTTGTTTAAGGTGCTCCTGAAAATGTAGTAGCACGTTAGAAATGACATGGCAACACAAAATCTTCAAGTGTTCTATTATTTACAAGGAGGAGTTCATCATTATAAGATAAAACTTCAGCACAAGTGATGGTGTTGTCTGAATATACCTGCCCAAGAAGTATTTCATTCAGTTCACTCATTGATGGTGTTCTCTCAATGGTGTGAACCTGAAATTACAAGTAGCAACTTTTAGTCGCAGAAATTGAACCCATAAAAACGGCATCAACAAGAATGATACAAGCTAATAGACAGGAAAATGGACAATTTTCCCAAAGTGGTCATTCAAAAGGAAAGCAAATTTAAAGTTCAAGAACTAAAACAAATGTAATAGAGTAAGTTTCATATGTAAAGAAGAATGGTTATCTGTGCAATAGTAAGAGATAAGAAAAACACCATTATATTGATTAGGAAGCCCATCTACCTGTGTATACATTAATTACAAATTCAAACTATTTTGAAGATAATAATGCATATAACTGCAAGAAGAAACTACAACATCTCCATTCATGTGGCAAAATCAATATTCGAGTAGACATGCTAGCAGTTCAAACAAAAATGATACAGAGATATTTTAGGATGTGTTTCCAAGATCTCAGTAATTGACTGCAAATAAACACAACTTTTTTAGATTAATTACAAGTTCTGTATCCCAACCTCCAATCCACCAGGAAAGCAGAACGAAAGGAGATCCTTAGACCTTAAAGGCAGCTGTTTATCAGGAGGGTACACAAAGAGAACCTGAAAGTACACGCAAATAATCAGAAAATGTATTCCATGAGGATGAAAGCATAATTTTTATTTCTGTTATTTAGGGAGCCATGTGAACCAGGACCTGAGGCTCGAGATTCGGTTCTACGCGGAACTGATGCTGACCACTAAGTGCACTTCGCAGCCTCCCTGAATTTTCAGATCTTCTACCAAAATACTGCCTCTGAAGTGCCTGAATGTCGCAATTTGGAGGCAATCCAACCACTACCATGCTCTCAAAGAGCCTCGATGGTTCTTTCAATATCCGTTGATGCTGAATTTTTTTTTTAAATTATAAACAATTGTGAGGAATAAAAGATAACAGTTCTATCTGTGAGCACAGCAGAGCACCAACCACGAAGGATGAAATATGAGGGAAGTGAGGAACTTTTGGTTCTAAATGTAGATTTTATTTTCAAAATATATGTAGAAGATTTATGTTCTGTTCATCATTTTAAAGCATCATACTTGGCAATAGTTCTTTTTAAAATAATCTGAAAAAACTCAGTATCTAACAAATGCATAAAACTTAACCCAAAACTATAACTAGAATTTACAAAGTACTATGAGAATGGTTGTCCTAATCCATGAGTTACAGTTACCATATCTAAAAACACGCACCCAATGAAACAAAAACCAAAAACTACATTGAGAGAATATTAAGAACATTTGCATTTGAAAGAAAGCTCCTACCAGTGAGCACAGTTAATTATCAGATAACTATACATGTAAATAAATACAAGCACACAAAGAAGGAAGTGAGAATGTTCAAATCAAAGAAAAAGACAGGTTTAACTCAGAAAGGTAATCAATAACCTATCTAGCATCATGTGGTCCAGTAGAAGAAAATAACATACCAGGGCCTGCAATTGAAAGCTTGCCCATTGCCGTTTTTGGCTAGTTAATACTTCTGGGTTGTAAGTTCTACTTTTCTCCTCGGAAGGAGGGGATAAGCCTTTCAGTACTCTGAAAACTTGATTCTGAAGCTTCTGAAGATGGCTACCAGTATCCGCTTTTGATGAGAATACCACTGATGGTCGTGGTGAAGGAGAAGGGGGAGTAACAACAGCTCCAGGGGAATCTTCAGCTGCCTGCACGAAGAATGAAGCACCCCAACCTGGGCTACTTGGCTCCTCAAGAGTGCAATTCCCTTTGTCCATGAGTGCAATTCCTTTTGTCAAAACAGCCGAGCACCAGGAATACTAAAATTTGGAGGCACGTGTACGAGAAAAAGTATGAGCATGATTTGTCCATTGCACTCATTCAAAATGAAGAACATAAACTAAAAAGTTTGCAGGATAAAGATGCAAATTCAGAAATAAAAAGAACACTTCATGTGCTGTCCATTCTTATAAAAAATGATAATGAAATTAGAGAGGACAAGGGAGCAAAACAAAGCAAATGAAAAGAAAAGTTTCTTCATATTTTCCAATTTGAAATCACATGCTTCTTCACAAACATTTTCTAGCAACAATGCACAATTCGAGATCCACCAGCACCTGTCAAATCACCAGTCATTCTTTTTAGCTGCACTTGTTCACTCTGTACTAAGAGACTTTCACCACATGTAGCTTAACAAGTTTGGCAGTAGTTCCCATTTCCCATAGGATATGAAGAGCTGTCTGTTAACAGCTTAAAAGGCTTAATGGGACTCACAGCTTATTCGGTCAGCTATACATGACTATTTGATAGTGGCTTAATGAAGTAGAAAATGGCTTATTCAGTAAGCTTCTAGGGGGAGGTTTATCAAGAAAGACAAGGTTTTTCAAACCTACCGCTCCCAATTGAAGAACATGCTCCTTCTATCTATGAAAAAGTCCTCCAAAATAAAAACCTTCTCAATCTATATAGATAGGTTAATCCACACAGAAAACTTCATCCATAAAGTACTTAACAGAAAACCAACCAAACAGCCCAGCATACCAGCAAACAATGCTTAAGGCTATGCCTATACGTCATTTCTGATAATTCTTCCTAAAAGAATGTACTCACTCACTCCCTCTCGTGTTTTTTAAGTCTAGTTCAATGACTAGTTTTGTGAACCCTCAGAAGAATACCAGAGACAGTGGCACTTAGTCAGAAGTCCGGTAGACCACCCACTATATTCCTCACCATGCTCAGGTTTAAGGCTCACCCATTTCAAGCGATTCAATTTGTCAACTGCAGAATTACTAACATGACCAAAAAATGAAGCAATTTTCTGTTCCCCTAAAACTATCAGCATTTCTTCCCTTTCTACTACCAATCACACATGTAAATAACTACTACCTGTCTATAACTTAAATCAATTGTAATCTTCATACACTGAACCAACAAATGACGATAAAAAAAAAGGTACCACTTATTCCATCCCTAAAAGTAGTGCAATAGTTGTTTCTGGTGCTGTACACAGGACTCGATGACCTGACGTCTACAGTAGAAAAGAAATTGCCTCAACCAGCATAAACGCTGTATTTAGACATGAAAACACAAAAGTCGGAGATTTTACAAGTAATTTTTAGTGAAAAATAAATATGTAGATTTTGATCTTACACGGAAGATACAAAAACTACATTTTTTTCGGCTTCACGTTGATAAACACTAGAATTAAGCAACAGAAACTTAATGGCATAAAACGATCAGGAAAGAAGAAAAGGTTGTTAAATTAGAAAGAACAGATCAGTAAACAGAGAGAAAGCTTGAATTAACGGAAACAGGAAGAAGAAAGAAGCGATTAAAGGAGAAATTCACCTGTAAATTGGGTTTAGTGATGGGCTACAGATACATATACGTATGCGTATAGAAGATCATGCGTCTGTGCCTGCATCCATCTGGTTGTGTGTTGTAGAGAGAGAAATAGAAGGAGATGAATGAAGATGGAGAAAGTGGAAGGAGAGTTTCTCTTCAGGCGGCCATAACAAAGTATTAAGCTTTTCTTTTTGGTCTTAAGAAACCCCCCTAAATTGATAAAAGGAGAAACGACGCTAATATTTATTGCTTTAACTATCTAATTATTTAATTATGAAGACGTTGTTGCCAATATTTACCCTTTTTTATTTTATTTTATTTATATAAAAAGTGTGCTCTATTTTTTTATCATGTCAGTTTATGTATATCTCAATTCTCAATTAATTTTAAAAGGGTTTTTTAATATTTAAATCTTCAATTAAATTAATCTTATAAAATTCTAAATATAAAAAATAAATATTTTTTATTTTATTTTATTTCAATTAATTCTCTGTATGGTTATCTAAAATAAAGAAAATTTTGAACTTTTATTTAAGAGGATAAAATTTAAACTTTTATTTAAGAGCATCTGTTAAAGCATTGGGATGTTGAATTTCAGGGACAAACCCAAAAAAAATTCAAATGATGATACCATTTGATTAAAAGAGATAAATAGAATGAAATTTTCTCAAACAGTTACACCATTGGACTAAGAAAATGATATTAATAAAATTCGAACTCGGGTTGGGATGAAAGAAAAGCTTTGCAAACCAACTCTACCAAATAAAACTTATTTTAGTATAGTTTCAGATTATATATATATGGTATACAGAACAAATTAATACGGTTGCACTTTTCATGAGCCTATATTTTTTACACTACAATGGATGAACAATATGGTAGCACGGGTCACCGCATGCTTTGGATTGGGACCGTCTCTGCTGATTTTATAGAATATTTTAGTAATGCAATTAACATTGAATAAGTACATAAAATTCAAGTCGTAAATGAAAAAAAATCATATAAAATAACACATGATAATTCGATTTTCGAAGTTATCATAAGTTTATGAATTAAAACAGAATTTTGAACTAAAAATCAAACTTACGATAAGTATTATAATTAATTTAGTATGGTTGACCAATTATTACCCACAACAAAAACATGGATGTCATATACTATTTACATCCTTTATTTATAAAAAAGATATTACTTTTCAATTTAAAATTAAAAATATATGTACGTGTGTTAATTTAAAAAAAAAAATAAAATCCTTTAATTAAAAATGATGATGTGTAATATTTCGTGTGTCGACAAATAAAAACAATTATAAATTCAATAAATGAAAAAATTTAATGAATAAAAACAAATAAAAAAAATATCATCAAAATGGATTATTCGGTTATAGATAGAATTTGTGATCAACGTTTCACAAAGAAAAAGGTTGGGCATGGTGTCATTGGTGTGCCCCCAAAATGCTATTATTTAGAGGATTTACGAAAAGCACCCATCTACTATCTTAAATGTCCATTTTTATTGCCATCTAATTTTCAATATTATATATTTTTTGGTATATCTGAATTTTAAAAATGGTATCAACAGCCTGAAAACGCTAACTGATAAGGTCTAGGTTCTGATAAATATTAGTTCGGTATAAAATGTGTGCCGATAACGACAAAATCGTGTTTAAAAATAACATATGTGGCTCAATTTAGTAGGGTACTGTTGTCGTGACATTATTTTCAAGACACTCGTTTTCTCTCGACTTGGATCTATAAATTAATTTCCTCGTATGACTATTGGTTATTTGACGGTATCAATGCAAATTTGGTCCTATTAACTTCCATTTTTGCTTTATATGGAAAAAAATGTAAGGGAGGCATCAAGGACAAACCTATATATATTTGAGCGGGCTCCCGTGCATCTACTTTAACTTATTTTCGGAAGTAGGATTAATTTTTGAGGTATGAAAGGTGCACCCCTAAACTTTGAGAGGTGTATGGGATATTAGAAAATATAATCAACATCAACAAAAAAAACACAAAAATACCTGTAAATCAACCAAAACAACAAAAAAAGTCAATAGAAATCAACAAAAGAAACTTGAAAATCATTTGAAACGATGGAATTCATCAAAAAACACATCGGATGACTCTGCAAGTCTTTGATCCATCTTAAAAATGCACATGTTCGGCAAATTCCTGGGTCCAGCACAGGGATGCATAACATATAAAATACTGTTTTAAACAACAAAAATTATTTAATTTGTTAGTATATACTATAAACTTTAAACATCTATAATGGTTACCAAGATAAGAAGAGTATAATAAAACACGCTAGTAATTTTATGGCATTTATCACATCATATATTAAATGAAAAATCATGTAAGAATAGAAGTTAAGCTGAAAAGTGTAAGAAGAAATTTGGACTTTTAATGTCTTTTAGCTAGTGTTGGTAACTACTGTTCTTACCTTCCTCATGATAACTATTGTTCTTATCGAAAATCAAATATGATATATCATTGGTATGTGAATTTAATACAAATTTGATATTAAACTGTATTTTATTAAAAGTTGAAGGATCAAAGACACCATTAATCCATTTGGGTGTTGCCTTTTCATTCTAGAAATAAATTTTATACAATCAAAATATACATAATTTTGAGTGTATTATGATATATAAATATAGAAATATAAGATCTTATACTATAATAAACAATATAATTAAATAAACAAACATTTTAAAAGTAATTTAATTGATCGTTTATTTAATTAAATAAACAAAAATACGTCACATGGTGTATTTTATTTTGTATCAGAGACAACATAGATCGAAAACATTGCAAACAAATAAGTTATATATATATATATATATATATATATATATTACACATACATCTTCATACGTGAATAATTAATAAATGTAGGTAAATAAACATGGATTCACTTAGTGATGGCCAACAACCGGTCCCGGGCCAGGCCCACTTGGTCCCAAGCTTTCTCATAACCGGTCCCTGTCAAAAATGGTAGGACCGGTCAATGTACTTCATAACCGGTTATGGGCCGCCGGTCCCGGTCCCGACATTAAAAAATAAGATTTTATTTTTATTTTTTTAATGATATATATTTTTAATACATTATAAATTTTACAATTGAGTCACTCAAATACACTTTAAAAATGCATTTTAATATAACTAAAATTATATTGTCTTATAAAATTACACTATAAAATTATTTAAAAATACATTCTTTTATAAAATTATTTCCATTTTCGGGCTGGGTCATCGGTCCATAGCCTGTCCCATTTAAATGTTTTCTTTATTTTATATTAATAAATAATTATTTCTCAAACCTAAAATTACACCAAGTAAAAGGACTTAATCGTGATGCTTTGCATATAATGAGATTCCTTAAAAGTTTCCATTTTTAACCTTTTTGCTTAAAAGACTTCACTTTTCTTAAGGGGGACAAAAAGGTCCATTTGCCTTTTTTTATACCCTTTTGTTGCGGGTACTCCTCCCTTTCCTATGCATATTCATGAATCTTATGATATAGTTAGATGTTATATATTTTATGTAAGAAATATATATATATATATATATATATATATTTTTAATTATAGACCGTTTATCTAAATATTTATCTGGTAACAGTCAATACATTACATATCTTACCTGGTAAGATTCTATGGCATTGTCTACAACAATTTACTCAATAAATGTTAACTGGGTAAGAGTCGTGACCGTCATTTATCAGATAAACCCTTCGGTCCTAGCTATTGCTCTTAGTGGATCAGATTCTGGATCTTAACATATTCATCCAGTTAAGTGTCTCGATAAAAGCTTACCGAGTAAACATTCAGTAAACAAATCCTTAATATAAGTAGCATAAAATAAGTCGTTTAGTTTATTTAGTTAATTAAAAAAACAAGCATGAATTAAATATGTTTATATTGCTTGCATAATTTTAATTAAAACGAGTGTAATATTATTTTCGAGTCGTAATTGTTACAGATTTATTAAAAATGTATTTTAAAATAGAATGAAATATGTATTTTAATTTGAAATTAAAAATGAACAATAATTCGAATTTCCTTTTACATTAACTTTTATTCTGATCAGAAAATTAGATATAAATATTATATATTTGATGTGGGTTTTTACAGGTGTGAAATGATGATTGGTAGTGGAAATGTTTGGGCAAAGAAAGTTAGGAAATTGTTGACCAGGCCAGGTCCCTGTCTCCTCGTCAAACTTTTGGATCAGTCTTGATGCTTGACCGACCTCATCTCTCTTGGCTTTTTTCCAATAAATATAAAAATTGGCCACAACAAATATTTGCTAGACAATTGATATATAAAAAAATAGTTCAAATCATATGAGATCAACATGTTTTTGTGAGATCAGTGAGACTATGTTTTTATACTTGAAATTTTACAGTAAAACGTTGTGAAGGTAATTTTCACAGTGTTTTTGTTGTGAAGGTTTGTCTTATTTTCCTTTTATAGCATTTTATTGTAAAATTTCAAGTGAAAAAAAATGTTTCATGGGTTTCATAAAAATAGACAGATTTTACGTTAACCTAACCATGTAAAAGAAGTAGGAAATTATACAAGTCAATCAATGGGAGATGTTTTAAAGGTAAGTTAATATATTTTTGTAACAAAATCTTCAACAGTTTATTTAAAATAAATAAAATCAATTTTTTGTTCTCTATAATATACTGATAACTTCTTTATCTTATTATTTAAAATAGAGAATTATTGAGAAAACTCTTAGGGGTGTTTGGTTCACATAATGAAATTTGATGGAATTAGAATTTATCAAAAGAATTTGACTTTGAAGGAATTTGAATAAAATTTGATAGAATTTGACCATGCGTTTGGTTGGCAGGAATTGAAATGAAATATCTCAATAGAATTGCAATAATCGTCTTTGTTTGGACTATCCCACTCATCGCCCCCCGCCCACACCCTACCAACCACTATGCCACTGCTATCGTCGT